TTGGACAGCAGTGGCAGGTCAGTGCTGACACATTGGAAAAGTAGGGGAAAAAGCCTTCCTGGATGCAACTAAAAAAAATAAGATAAAATCTGAGCCAGGCTTTGAAAGGGTCAAGGGACTTTGTTCTTCCTCCTTTAGGTTTCCTGTCATGATACCATGTGCTGCCCGGACTTAGACATTAATGCTAGGTGTGCATTTCAGACTTGATTTCGTCAAGCATTAACCCAATCCTTCCCATGAACAGTTTTGCTTTTGAATTGTATTGAATGGAGATCAACAGAATTTTGAAGAATTAGGTCTGGCTGACTAAAAAGTCACATTTCCTTAAAGCTCTGATTGTTTCGATAGAAGAATCTAAAATAAATGAATCCAAAATATTTTCATACTTCTTTCATTTTGTGTGGGGAATACAGGCAAGGAAAAGAGGCAACAAGAGACAGCAAGGCAAGCCTCAGGACATCCCCTCACAGCGCAGGAGGCACAGCTTCAGGACTGTACTGCAGATTCAAGAGAGGTCTAGGTTTGTAGTCTGGTTTACTACAGCTCTGCTGAATATCAGGCAATGAATTAATCCATCCTCAAAGAGCTGTTCCACTTCATCTTAGCAAACAGACATGGATGGACCACACTACAGTTGTTTCTAAAGCCATAATCTGGTTACATACAGACATATGTCCCATGGTCCAGGCCCTGTTGTGCACAGCTGTCTCACTCCAAGTTTTCTGTACAAGAGTCTTTCACATCTCTCACAAGAGCCCTGGCCTTGGAGCTGTTTTGCAGTCTGACCTCAATTTCCACCTGCAGTCTGAGATTCTTCCTGCTGAAAGCTCAACAAATGAGATGGGTTTACAGGAAATACTGTCAGTGTAGCTACCCTTTTTTTTTTTTTTTTTTTTTTTTTTTTTTTTTTTTTTTTTTTTTTTTTTTTTTTTTTTTTTTTTTTTTTTTTTTTTTTTTTTTTTTTTTTTTTTTTTTTTTTTTTTTTTTTTTTTTTTTTTTTTTTTTTTTTTTTTTTTTTTTTTTTTTTTTTTTTTTTTTTTTTTTTTATCCTGAGAGAAAAGCTGGTCATTAGCCAAAAGTTTTGAATCGGCTCTTGTTTGCAGTGGAGGAAAACATGTGAATATTGTTTCACTGAACTAAAGCAACTGAAAATATCTTTGAAGTCATCAAACCTTCTAAAGATTTTGTTTTGTTTTGTTTTTTGGGCGGTGTCCTTTGTTTTGTTTTTTTGGTAGGGGTGTTTCAGTTGGTTTGTGTTTTTTATGTGTATTTTTATGCTGGTTTTGGTTTTTTGTGGTTTTTGTTTTGGGGGGGGGGGGGGGGGGATGGGAGAGGAATCTGTTTTCACCTTAAAAAAACCCTAAACCCATTCCCTTTCAAACACCTCCCACCAGCCCAGTGCCCAGGCAGCTTTGTAGGAGTTTTTCCTCTGCCCTCTAATTTGTCAGACCAGCCTGCTCATCGAGTGACTGGCACTGGTAGAGGCTGGGTGGTGCAGGCTGGGGGTATGTTTCTCCTCAGGGAGGATTGTAAGGGTGTCCCAGGAAACAGATCCTGCGCTGAGGGTGGACACTAAAACAGCTCAGCCTCTTCAGCCTTGCAAAACACCAGCTGAAAGAGGATACAATTGCTCTCTATAAATAGACGTAGGAGTGAGGCAGCGGAAAATACCAGAGAGGAGAGGTGCTATTTACACTCAAGGACAGAAATAAAATAAGGATAAACTGGAAGGGAATAAAAGAGCACGGGAAATATGAAAGTTTCCAACCATCAGAGCAGGGAGGAGAGAAACCAGCCAATTAAATCAAATGCAAGCAGAAAACTCAAACTGTTTAAAGGAGGATCCTGATCAGTTTGTGGGCAGCACTGGACACAGCTGTCCAGGAGAAGCTTCCTGTCCCAGGTTACTAAGGAAGCCACCTCAGCCACAGAGTTCACAACCATAGTTTTTGACTCCTGCTTTGTCTCTGCTTGATCATTCAAGCATGGCTTTACCTCGTGACAGTATCAAATAAAGAATTTGCACCGAGAGACAGAAAGAAGAAAAAAATGAAGTAATTTTTAATGACCGTTCTTACACTATTTTTGCTTAGACAATGCAGGGCAAAGGATGGTGATTCATCTCCAACCCCAAATGCATTGCTGAGTGCGAAGCAATTGCTTAGAAACCTTTGAAGACCTCTCACAACATTTAGTAAGGAAAAAGGGAAATAAAAGTCACGTTACCACCACTGCTCCATGCTGATCCCAGAGGTTTTTGGCAGGTCTGGAAAAGTGGCAGAATTAATCAGCTTTGTGACTGTGGCAACAGAAAACAAATAGGAAAAATGCACAGACAGCCCATTTTTTATGAAAACTGCATGACCATTCTGGGAAAAAGCTATGGCATCATCCAGCTGATTTAGCTGGGTTTGCACGTGCTTCAAAAGAGCAGGTACATCAAAAGAGCTTAATGTTAAAGCATACCAGAACACCTACACAAAAATCATGGCAGTCTTCTAAATTCACTTGCTCCCAGTTTGGTGTGTCTCTCCTTTTGGAGGTGCAGGTTCCTCACACCACACTGCACATGCATGCAGAGACCTCTGCATTAACTTGGCACATGATGCTCTGGGCACCAGAATCCACCTGATGGTGGATTTCCATATCTCCCTGTGCTTATCTCTGTCACTAAAAAGATCCTTAAGTTTTTGAGATAACCCCTGGCTGAACAGCCCTGGATAACACAGTGCTGAGACCAGGTGGTGCAGAGGAAGCACATATTCATCTGGCTCAGCCTGTGCCCCACAGCCCTGGCATCTACCTGCACATATAGGTGGACACATCAAAGCACATCACCTTTCTCCAGACCTACTTCAGTGTGTCTTACCCCACTCCACAGAGAGCCCGGAGATCTCGAGCAATTTTTGGGTACTTTTGGAGAGAAGAGAAAAGCTTGGGGTTAGTCAACAACAGTGCAGCTGAAATAGCTGGCTATCACGTGATTACGTTTTGGGAACACTTCTCATCGTAGCAGAGTTGGCTCTGAAGAACTGGTAGGGTTTCCAACGAAGTGGTTTTACTCCCCTACCTCCCTGCACATGGAATTCTTCCCACCACGCTGATTTCCTATAACACAAATGAGACACGTCCACACACTTACTATGGGTTTCAAAATGATAGCCAAGATCATTTTCAGCAGAGCAGGAAGCCTGTAAGTATTGAACTGGGATTTCAGGTTGGGATCCACGATGTCTCCTTTGCTGGAAGGGCAGAGAGTGAAAAAGTGACTGTGCCAGAGCTACAGCAATAGCAGTGCTGCTTCCAAGGTGGAGTTTGTCTTGGAAGGGAGTCTCTAAAAGACAAAATCTGCCTGTTTCTAAGGAAAACACTGAACAATAGATGCTGAGGTGTAAATGCTCACTGCAAATGTTACAGATAAATTGGTACTTCACTGCCTGTGGCATCAGTGCCATAAAAGTTCTGGAGAGCTTGGCAGTGGGACCTGCTTCATCCTGAAATGAGCAAGTGGCTGGGTGGGTGTCTACCATGCTACCCATGCATGTGAACTGGCTGCTGCCCATGCTAAATTCATCCTTCCAGAGATTGCTCCCCTGCTGCTCATGAATCAGTTTGCACCCACGAGAATATAAACACTCTGGATGCAGCCACTGGCTATGGTATATAGTGCTAAGTCCCACAGCCCACACAGAAAGAAGGGTTTTACTCAGAAGCAGTCTACCTCCTTGCTGCTGTAGGACAGAAAGACCCCATTTTCAAAGGCAGCTGGGTTAGCAGTATCTGCCTGCTGTTCTTTCCAAGGCATAAACACTTACTGTGACCTGGCACACACGCCACTCCTCTACATGTTAGAGAAGAATTTTTAGAGGCTTCAAAACACCCATTTTTAAAAATTAATTTGCATCATTGGAACAGCTCCCATACAGAAATCCCCACTGGTGGAACTACAGAATAATTTGGGATGAAGGAAGTCCCTGGGGGGTTAATTGCTCCACCTTGCTTCCCACTTACCCGCCAAGAAATCTGTAAGCTGTGTTTAGTAGAGGAGGAATCATGGAAACTGCTGTGAGTTTGATATCTATGGGAACAGCAAACATGATGGAAAACAAAACAGTGCTTGGGTTGACTTGGAGATATCTTAAAATAATTATCATGTCTGCTAGGCTAGAAATATAAGCAAGATCACTTCAGTTTGGGAATCAAACTGTTGCATTTGCCTCCTCTTTTACGGGCAGGAAAAGTGGAGATGGAAAGTGATTTTTCCAAACTTTGTAAGGAGCGGAGGTAACAGCTCCCAGCAACCACAGCCATGGGAACCCACCGTGTGCCCTGCATCCTGGAGGAGCTTTCTTGTCTGCTTTATGGCCCGTTTCATGCTGGGTGAGGGCTGGAAGTAACCATCTCCTTCATAGTACCCGATGCAGAGAGGCTTTGAACTCGTGTAAACCTGTGAGAGGAGGAGCCAAGACTTACACACATGACACGTGCAGGACTGGAGCGTTCCCAGGGCTCAGGGAGGCACCAACTGAGCTCTCCTGGGTTGGAGGAATGGTGGCAGCAATAGAGCTGGGGAAAAACAGTGTTGTCCAGGACACAAGTCTGCACCAGAGGTCCTCGGCACAGTCTTTCTGACGCCACCTCCTGCCTGCCAACCCTGCTGTGTGGCTGCTTCTTTTGGTCACTTGTGCTGGGTGTCCTCTGTCCACAAGGACACGTGCTTCCCTGGATTCTTTGCTCTCTTGGGACATGAAAGCAGGTAGGGACCTCCTGAGATCTCACTTTGTCGCTGGGAAAATAGAGACACGGGAAAATGAGCTGGTTTTTAATTTGAAAGTGCCACTGTCCTCCATGCTGAAAGTATCACTCACTTTGTCGATGTAGGACTAGGGGACGCTTTCTGGGGACAGGGACCCCTCCTTCAGCTTCTGTGCCAGCTCCACCATTGTCAGAGAGAGGATATGTGTGGTCTGGTTCTAAAAAGGGTAGGAAATTGGGTGCAGAGGGAAGAAAACAACAGAAAAGGCTGGTGTTGAGGCTGCAAATACCCAGTTCTAACATCTGCCCAGAAATCACCTTGAAGGGAAAATTTTAGAAGATGTGCCCTGTGGAAACGCAGATCTCCCACAGAGCACTGCCTGTGCTGGAGCAGGGAATTTGCTGACAGGGAATTTGCTGGGTCTTAGTTCTTAAAACAGGATGAAAACAGAGAGAAAACTGCTCCTAGACTGGAGAGTTTCATGAACCTGTAAGAGTGGTTTAACCTGTCTCTGTTTACTCTCCTACAGGCCTCCACCCCTCTTCTAACTCTAACTCACTGAATAGCAGTTCAAACAGCTAAAGTTTTACAAAATTTATCATTAACATGGGAAAAAGAAGTGTGCAGGCTGTTGGAAACCTCCCCTCCAAGAAAAGAATAGCAGTAGGGGTTTATTATGGGTCTAAGATAAATCCCATTTCCAAGGACCTGACCTCCTAAAATCCAGGTGCTTCTTTACCTGGGCATGGGCAAGAAGAAATGGCTTTTAGATGTTGGAAGGATGTGAAGCCCCCTTGTACTTTGAGGGTGATGGGGCATTCAGGTCCCTATGGATGGGCAGAGGTAAGGATGGGAGAGGAAGGGCTTGGCAGTAGGGATGGATGAGGAGAAAGGGCATGGGGAGGTCTGGGGTGGTGATCTGATTGAGAAGGTCCCAAGCTCCAACTGATCTTTCATACTCAGAATTCCCTAAACAGGTCTGTATTAAGAAATATTTCCTTTACACTGTCAGTTATAGGAGGGGTTTTCAGGACAATGGAGGATGATGACCCTTAAAAAACATAGGATTGGTGATGCTGAAAAACAAGCATGTGCCCTAACCACCATTCAGAGAGGGACTGATCAGAGCTCCCCCATTCCTTTGGTTATCCAAAATATATATACCCACAAACACTTTCCCCCAAATTTACCTCTTGCTTAAACCTGCGAGCTGCCTTCTCCATCCTTTCCAGGGCCAGATCCCAAGATCTCCTCGCCTCATGCATCTTCTGCAGGACCTGTCTGCGTCCCAGCCACCTCAGGAGCACGACAGCTGCAGCTGAACTGCAGAGCACAGCTGAGAGGACACGAGGGTCCCCCCACGATGGATCCAGGACCTGCCACAGGTGTTCTTGGATCACGATTTCTCTGCCCGACCCTTTCAGTTCGGGTCCAGCTACAGAGACCTGAGTCTCCCACCTTCTCCTCAGGAGGGCAGATAAATGCAGACTCTGTGACTGCCCTGCTGTGCAGGGTCAGCTCTGAGAGTTGCTTTAACGAAGTCCAGGAATGGACTTTCTAGACCATGGACTTTGAAAGGGTCTGCCTGCTGGAGCACTGCTGTGGGTCAGGCTGCAAAACCATGTGCTCAGCTTACTCAGCCTGGGGGGGCTTCCCCAAGGCTGTGGTGTTCCCCAACTCTGTGTCTCCTCAAGCCACTGCTTGCTGATGTCCCTGGCTGCACACAAAGCTGAGTGCCTGCAAAGCCCCGGTCTGGGCTATCCCTATCATACCCACCCCTAATAATTAATTAACATTTACACCCATTAACTAGAGGTGCTTAGCCATCACCCCTGTCCCTCAGGCAGCATCAGCTGCAGCCCTTTGAGCTTGGGAAAACGTAGCTCTGGTTGTTCTGGGGAACCTCATGCAGGGAGTGAAAATGCACCTGTGGAGAGGGGGGAGCTCAGGAGAACAAAGAGAATGCAGGTGACTCTGGAAATGCAGCGTGGAAGGAGCCATCTGAAGATGCCTTCAAGCAGTATGACTCTTCTGTATCATTTTCAAGCCAAGCCTCCTTGAAAAGCCTTTTGGCAACCTGGATTAGAAGGTGAGCACTTTTGGGAAATCCCTTCTGATGGATGCAGAGTCCTATCTGTTCTGCGGTTTCCAAGCCATCAGGATGCAAAGGAGCTGGACCACACAGTCTTACCAGCCCCAGGAGGTGCCCCTTGCCATGGGTGCTCCCCCCTGCCCAGGACTGTCCCGTGGCTCGGTGTGGAAAGGAGGGGCTGAAAAAATTAAGCTTCTGTACATCCTCAGGTATCTGCAAGCCCACAGGGAAGGAACAGGGGATGCCTCCAAGAGCTCATTGCCAAGGTGCAAGGCAACTCAGCTGCACCTGAACAGATGCTGGCCCTGCTCCAGGCAGCAGGGTAGCAGAGCTTCTAAGGTGGCTGTATCCAGGGTAACCATTGCTCTGTGGTGGAGGGGTCTTGTTTGGGGACTGAAGCGAGTGATCATGCTGCTGTCCTGCTACCTTCTTGCCTGGTACAGACACGTCAGGTGGGATTTATTCCTGTGGCAGCAGGGAGGGAGCTTGGGCGAGAAGTGAGACCTTGTAGATAAATTGTTTGCTGACAGGAAAGGTGAGGAGGATCATCCCTGTTCAGACAGGGAAGGCAGAAGAATGAGGCAAACAACTTGGTGTGTATGTCACCAACCTCTCCCTGCTGACTGCTGGGAGCAGCCTGCAGCTCTGGCCCTTTTGGTAGCCTCAAGCCCCCAGAGCTGCCCAGCAGCTTTGGCCCTGCCTGCTGCACTGTCCCATGGTTGTGGCTCGCTGAAGGTCTTCACTCAGGGCTTCCAGTGAGGAATAATTGTAGGTTCAGGTTCACTGGTGGCTCCTTGGTTTGGACTCCTGCACCCTGCCCACCTGCATGCCAGGGAGAGAGCAGTTAAACTAACAGTGCTTGGCACTCTGGGAGCATGGGCACTGCCTTTTCTGGCACAAGCTCCTCCAGGTTTGAATTTTAAAATTTATAACAAACAGGTAACCCCATCCAGCATCTTCTGTGTGTGCAGAGAGCACCGGTGGCTGGTGAAGAACCCGACCCAGACTCTTCTGGGGCTTTGCTTTACATAGCACTCAATCATGGAATGCCTGAAGCTCCCTCCCTCCCGTTTTCAAAGCCTGCTGATAAAGAATGGGGGTCCTGTTCTCCTTGGCTGTGATAAACACTCTCTCAACCCTTGAAAAGGCTCCATGCCTTTGCACACCTCTGGTTTAAACAACAGTAATACACTAAAAAAAACCCCAAACGTTAATCCTGCCAGAGCTTTGTTACCATCTGCTTTTGACATTCCTGCATTGGGAAAACACTTTCGCACTGTGGCATTCCTTTCTGGAACACTCTTGGAAACCTGCCGGGAGCAGTCAGTCCTGCCCATCCCAGTGCCAGTGGCTGCCAGTGGCTGGAAAACCCTGCTGGAAATCCTGGTATGGGCCAAAGGGGAGGAGAAGGTGCGCAGGGCAGGCTGTCTGCCATCCATCCGACCCTGGCACGCTGCTCAATACAGGCCTCAAACGGA